TACGTGACGGCCTCCTCATGTAATGTGACCGCCTTCTCATGTAATGTGACGACCTCGTCATGTAATTTGACGGTCTTGTCATGTAATGTGACGGCCCCCTCATGTAATGTGACGGTCTCGTAATGTAATGTGTCGGGCTCTGACGGCCTCCTCATGTAATGTGACGGTCCTCATGTTACGTGACGGCCTCCTCATGTAATGTGACCGCCTTCTCATGTAATGTGACGACCTCCTCGTGTAATGTGACGGCCTCGTCATGTAATATGACGGCCTCCTCATGTAATGTGACGGCCTCCTTATGTAATGTGACGGCCTTCTCATGTAATGTGACGGCCTCCTCATGTGACGGCCTTCTCATGTATTTGGACGGACTCCTTATGCAATGTGACGGCCTCCTCATGTAATGTGACAGCCTCCTCATGTAATGGGACGGCCTCCTTATGTAATGTGACGGCCTCCTCATGTAACCTGACGGCTTCCTCATGTAATGTGACCGCCTCCTCATGTAATGTGAAGGCCTCCTCATGTAATGTTACGGCCTCGTCATGTGATGTGACGGCCTCCTCATGTAATTTGACGGCCTCCTCATGTAATGTGACGGCCTCCTCATGTAATATGACTGCCACGTCATGTAATGTGACGGCCTCCTCGGCCGTCACATTACCTGAGGAGGCCGTCACATTGCATAAGGGGGCCGTCCAAATACATGAGAAGGCCGTCACAGGACGAGGCCGTCACATTACATGAGGAGGCCGTAACATTACATGACGAGGCCGTCATATTACATGAGGAGGCCGTCACATTACATGAAGAGGCCGTCACAATACATGACGAGGCCTTCACATTACATGAGGAGGCCGTCACATTACCTGAGGAGGCCGTCACATTACATAAGGAGGCCGTCACATTACATGAGGAGGCTTTCACATCCCATGAGAAGGCCGTCCCATTACATGACGAGGCCGTCACATTACCCATCACATTACATGAGGAGGCCGTCACATAACATGAGAAGGCCGTCACATTACATGAGGAGGCCGTAACATGGCAGAAGGCCATCACATTACATGAGGAGGACGTCAAATTACATGAGGAGGCCGTCACATTGCCTGAGGAGGCCGTCACATTGCATAAGGAGTCCGTCCAAATACATGAGAAGGCCGTCACATGACGAGGCCGTCCCATTACATGAGGAGGCCGTCACATTGCATGAGGAGGCTGTCACATTGCATGAGGAGGCCATCACATTACATGACGAGGCCGTCACATCACATGACGAGGCCGTAACATTACATGAGGAGGCCTTCACATTACATGAGGAGGCGGTCACATTACATGAGGAAGCCGTCAGGTTACATGAGGAGGCCGTCACATTACATGATGAGTAACATTATAGAAACAAAAACATATAGGCCAAGGACGCCAAAGAGAAAATTGGGTATTCCACATCAATGTTACTGAGATACATTGGCAGAAGGCCATCACATTACATGAGGAGGCCGTCAAATTACATGAGGAGGCCGTCACATGTCCTGAGGAGGCCGTCACATTGCATAAGGGGGCCGTCCAAATACATGAGAAGGCCGTCACAGGACGAGGCCGTCACATTACATGAGGAGGCCTTCACATTACATGAGGAGGCGGTCACATTACATGAGGAAGCCGTCAGGTTACATGAGGAGGCCGTCACATTACATGATGAGGAACATTACATGAGGAGGCCGTCACATTACATGAAGAGGCCGTCACAATACATGACGAGGCCTTCACATTACATGAGGAGGCCGTCACATAACATGAGAAGGCCGTCACATTACATGACGAGGCCGTCTCATTAAACGAGGAGGCCGTCACATTGCATGAGGAGGCCATCACATTACATGACGAGGCCGTCACATAACATGAGGAGGCCGTCACATTACATGAAGAGGCCGTCACAATACATGACGAGGCCGTCACATCACATGACGAGGCCGTCACATTACATTAGGAGGCCTTCACATTACATGAGGAGGCGGTCACATTACATGAGGAAGCCGTCAGGTTACATGAGGAGGCCGTCACATTACATGAGGAGGCCGTCACGTACGTGACGGCCTCCTCATGTAATGTGACGGCCTCGTCATGTGACGGCCTTCTCATGTATTTGGACGGCCTCCTTATGCAATGTGACGGCCTCCTCAGGTAATGTGACGGCCTCCTCATGTAATTTGACGGCCTCCTCATGTAATGTGATGGCCTTCTGCCAATGTATCACAGTAACATTGATGTGGAATACCCAATTTTCTCTTTGGCGTCCTTGGCCTATATGTTTTTGTTTCTATATAAATACACGTTTATAACAAAGAGCCTATAAGGATATATAACAATCCCTTCACATCATTCTAAGATATATGGATGATATTGTGTATAAAATAAAAGATAAAATATATAACCTGTTTTACGTCAGCCGCTTACCTCGACGTTTACCGATACAATCAGCAACAAATGCGTCTGACTACCAAACACGGTGCAATATACTCTTTTTCCAAATATCATGATGCTGCGACACATTGGCAGGTTTTATTGTCGCTATCACAAATTTGTTAACCACAATACGCTATGTTATTCCACTCTCAGATCATTGTATAAACACGCAGACTGTTAGATAAATATGAGTTATATACCACACGTGGTATATGACCTTCAAGCGTTTTGATTGGTCGAGAAGATTAACTTTGACCGGGAAGACTTTTTCCACGTGCTTTTTGCCACCTGCTGTTTTGTTTACGTCGTCGGCTGTCAACATCCGACAAATGTTGGTGACGTTGTGAGGTTATGTGGAAAGGGTGGTTATTAAGGCAATATTTAAAGATGATACTTAAAGATTTGATCGCTAGTTTTAAGCAAAATTGCTACAGACGCTCGATATCGTTTTGACGTCACACCGTCGCGTGTCTAGGTCGTGAAACCAAAACAAGATCTGTCACAGTGTCGGGAAATATTTCGTTCTCCCAACGTCCCGTTATCGCTATTTAGACGGTCTGACTATGGCTGAACTTTCACTATAAACGTCAACCATAGAACCGTCACGAAGAAACGTAGGCCTAGAAACGTAGGCCAATGGTTTTGGATATTGACAGCGATAAGTTCGTCTACAACGGTTCATCACTTGGCGGGAGGCAGACTTCGTACGATATCCTTACGCGCATATAGTCCGTGGTTAATTTATATAAATTAATGCAATACTGCTACTCTCAATATTTAAAATTGTTCATCTATTTTATTTTTTCACGAAGTTGTTGCCGAAACATTAATTTTGACAATAATTAAATTTTTAAAAAAAAAAGTCATTTTTGAATATTAATGAGGGACTTTTTACATATGGGTCATATCACTACGCCAGCCTTGTCAACAAACACATGTGTGTAAGTTATTTCCGACTGATCATGAGATTGTGGTAGAAACAGATCACACGACTCGTGGTTGTTGAGGATGGTATTTATTTCACTCTCGTTAGTTAATTTTCAAAAGTTACAGAAAGACACTCGCTAAAACTCGTGTCTTTTGTAACTTTTGAAAATTAACTAACTCGAGTGATACATACCATATTCAACAACCACTCGTTGTGTAATCTCTATTATACAAATGAATATCGACAAATTTGATATTAGATCAGTAATGCCCCTAGATTGTCGCATTCCAAAGCCTGGTTCTTTCTTTGACAATGAAATGAAAATATTATCATTTTTATTGACGCTCTTTACACTGTTCTTGTCCGTCCTAAGTCTATATAACGCAACACAAATACTTGAAACTCACTACAACGGTTACCTTTAACTATTTAGACGGTTCCGTCTTCTTGTAGCCTAACGTCTTTAGAATAATAAACAGAATTCAGGATCCAAGATAAAATAGCTTCTCTTATGAAAAATGATGAAATATCCCGATATAAAATCTTATCTTATAAAACAGAAATAAATATACTCGATATAATTACTTATCCTATGAAACATGATTTGATATCACCAAACTAATATCTTATCTGATGCAACAGAATTAACTATCCCCGATAGAATAGCTTATCTTCTGAAACATGATTAAATAAACCCGACAAAATTTCTTATGAAACAACATTAAATATACCAGAAAAAATATCTAATCTGATATATATATCCTTTAGATTTAAGTAACAGCTCAATAAATGACCTCCTCTTAATGAAATGAAAGGCAAAACAGTCTGATAATATGTTTTATTTTTCACGAAAGCCTTACGTTTCAGATTAACATATTAAATATGAAGAAATAATCCCAAACTGTATAGATATGTACTACATCATCATTTGGATACTTTATCGAACAAAGCAGGAGTGTCTAAGTCTTCCATAACCTTTATAGAAATACAGTAAAGGGGAAATGTCTAGGGGTCGTTTATGGTGTTTCACATTTTCCTACAACGAAGATGTATTTCAAAGTAGTATTTTAGGTCACCTGAGACAGAGTCTCAACTGACCTATTGCGATTGCCTTTTGTCTGTCGTCGTGCGTCGTGCGTCCGTTAACCATTTGCATTTTTTTAATTCTTCTCCATAACAACTGATTCAATCAGTGTCCAGTTTTTAGGCTGGTACACAAGTTTGTGTTAAAACCTTGTAGCGTAAAATGTGAGAGTAAAATTCTTAAAAAGTTTATGCCCAAGAACATGCATTTGTTTTACATGAATATGACTTATTATTGTTTTCGTTGCAGGAATATACCTGACAGTAACCATGGGGATGACCTCTTTATCAATAATTCTCGTGGTATTCGTTCTCCAACTACACCACGTAGGACCACATCAACGACCCGTTCCAAGATGGCTGAGGTTTATATGCGTAGAAATTCTAGCGCGTATAATGTGCATGCGCACTTCGCAGATTCCGGCATCTTACAGCAATGACTTTCGCAAAGATGACATGTGCCTCACAACTTTCTTCGAGAACGTTGACGGACATAATTGCAACGGAAATCTTCCACAAAATACTTTAAAATACCACGATAAAATCATAGATGTGGAAAGAGACACCACACATAGAAGGATTACTAAACACCTAAAAGTTTTAGTTGAAAAACAAGACTTTGATGACCATCACCAAGACATTGTGAATGAGTGGCGGTTTGTGGCATTAGTAATGGACAGGATTCTATTCTGGGTGTTCCTGTTTGCTTCTTTAATCTCCTCAATAATGATATTAGTTGTTGAACCAATGCGAAAACCACCGGTGTGATGACAGTACAACGTTTTTGTTGTGTGTATATATAACAGTAACTACAAATTATCAAAAACGCATTACAAACAAGGGATACTTTAATGGATACCATCTTATTACCTCCCCTTTCAATGACTATCTCACACGTTGCGTCATAACAAACGAATAATTATATATTTATCGCAAGTTGTATTCTTTATTTTTCCATAATTCAAAACGCTGCTCAACACTTCGTGGCGTCGCGCTGTGTCCAAATATTGAAACTGAAATAAATACTGAACAAAGGACATTTAATAGGGGTGACAAAACCTGTTTAAGATACATGCTATTTATATGTAATTACGTCTAGACATGTTGGACCACATTTATATATATTTCTACAAATTTCAGTAAAATGTATTTAGAAAAACAAACCAATAAGGGAGGTAATCCGGTATAGTGTCATGCCTTGTAGGCGTCGCTTTGCCTACCTCGATAGAGGTGTCCATCTTATATAAAAGTGACGTTACCACCACAGATATGCATGACTAGTACGAGAAGTGTGAATGCAATGTTATAAACGAGACATCAACATTTTGCAAATGAATTATTGCGAATGTATAAAATTACAAAATAATGAAATGGCTGTGTCAGAGAACATGCGACAGAATGAGTATATATGTGACATCAGGTGAGTAGTTATTGTACTTGGATAACAGAATGAGTATATGTGTGACATAAGGTGAATAGTTATTGTACTGGGATAACAGAATGAGTATATATGTGACATCAGGTGAGTAGCTATTGAACTGGGATAACAGAATGAGTATATGTGTGACATACGGTGAATAGTTATTGTACTGGGATAACAGAATGAGTATATCTGTGACATCAGGTGAGTAGTTATTGTACTGGGATGACAGAATGAGTACATGTATATGTGTGACATCAGGTGAGTAGTTATTGTACTGGGATAACAGAATGAGTATATGTGTGACATCAGGTGAGTAGTTATTGAACTGGGATAACTGAATGAGTATATGTGTGACATCAGGTGAGTAGTTATTGTACTGGGATAACAGAATGAGTACATGTATATGTGTGACATCAGGTGAGTAGTTATTGTACTGGGATAACAGAATGAGTATATGTGTGACATAAGGTGAATAGTTATTGTACTGGGATAACAGAATGAGTATATGTGTGACATCAGGTGAGTAGTTATTGTACTGGGATAACAGAATGAGTATATTTGTGACATCAGGTGAGTAGTTATTGTACTGGGATAATTTCTAGATCCGTCAGTAAAGGTTGTATCGACACTATTAACACGTTCGACATTGTCGGCACGAATACTGACCTGCCAGAGACAGCCAGTACGAGTAAACTATTCGTGTACATCATACGTACACGTGCAGTTTAGTGAAATGTGTGTACTATTGCGTGCGTCATCATCATTTGTATATATAACGTTACCATTTACCTTTTGAATGATCAGTATCATAAATGCAATAGGATACCGTGAGATTATTGTTCGGTGGTGTTGTACGGACTCATATATTGTTCTATTTTGCAAATGTACATTCTGCATATAGATAGATCTGTTTGTTTCAAACGGTATGATAACATTTATATTTTTATTTTTTTTCAAATTTGGAATAATAATCAAATTATGTTTATTTTAAGTGTTATTCATTTGATGCAAAATATCTATAATTTCATAAACGAAGTTTGAAACAGAACAAATGTATGTCGACGTGACCTTGCAAGTATACATGTATACAGATTACGCTCGGTTTTTATTTTCCTATATCTTAATAATTCATTTTTTATTTGTATTAGTCATTACCTACTTCTGTAAGAAAGTAAAACATACAACTGGCAAAATGATAATAGATGATATCAAACACTATTTATTTAGCGTCGTAGGATGTTTATGAAATTCCTGTAGTGAGTTAAATAGTGTAGTGTTTAAACACCCACATATTAGAATAACTTGGTATACCTTCAAAAACGTATTTACAAAGTCATTTTCTGTAATCATTCCCGATTCCTTAATTACACACCATAGTTTAACGGAAATTTCTCTGTTCTTTATTCGAAAAGTGACAACCAAGGAGGATATTTGAACTACGATCTCGACTTACTTTAACTGCGGATATATCTTACTAGATGTTATTATGTACTGATTTATTATAGAACCTTAAGCCCAGAAAGGGATAGCATAGGTTTGTTTTAATTGTTGATCTAATGAAAACAATACCAGAGGATAAGATAAATGTATTACTTAAGTAAACCTTTTTATTTGTAAAGCCTTTTGTTTACTTGGCGTTTATTTTCAATTTCATTTCCTTCTCTGAAAATGACTTTTCACTTCATTTGGTAGTACTCTGACTGGTAGATTTCTAAAGTTCGAGTGTGCTTTGCGTGTGTGGTTGAAAGAAAATAACTAATCTTTTAATACATTTTTGTCTAGTCGGCCATTTTGTGTTGATGACGAATGCAAGGACCGCAGTATGTTATTGTGTACAGCCCTTTATGCAGCTGCATGGACGATATAGACGAGTTTTAGTTTCTTCCTAAGTCTTTTGATATAAAGACTAATGAGTATCGCCCTAAGGGTCATCATCTAGATTTACTTATTTTCTTGAAATATATGTAAACTGTTTAGCCGGGTTAGTTCTTTTGTGTAAATTATGTGGATTTGAATGCGCCTCGAATGAGACTATTTTGTAAAGTATCGTCACGAGTTGTGTCAGTTGAAGGCCAGGCATTATTCTAAATAACCTAACACTTCTAGGCTCACTGTTTAAAAGTCAGCCTGTGTTTGTTAATGTGTTTCGGTGAATATTTTAAGTAACCTGAATGTTTGTTATGATTATTTTCATAGTAGAAGATTGACGATCTGTTGTACGTAATGCAGTAAGTGTTAAATGACAAATAAGCTAGAAGTATCAGGCTCTAAGATTGACCATTTGTTCTGTAGACTGGAGACATACACATATATCATTCTACTAATGTTACTTTGTATAGGTTAAGAATTATTGTATACCAGATATGGAGTGTAACATATAAATATAAACAGGGGAGAAATAACCTAAGACACTGTTATTATCTGTCTTCATCATATAGGCGACATCAAAAATGAAAATTGAAACTGAATTAAAACACCAGATGATACTGTCTCCGGCAAGGGTACATATTTCCCAGCCTTTGTCATTCTTTTGTTCGAAGGCACAGACTAAGATTTTTGCAGCTGCTTCTTTAAGTAACTTCTAACACATTGACACATGGCTGCTTACAAGGCGAATTTTCAAAAATACCAATAGAAGGGTAGGTATTGAAAGCAATTTAAAGAATTTGCAATATTTTAGGAAAATTACAATATGTAACAACGTACTAGTAAATTCTATGTAAACTAATTTTAATAAAACATTCCTCATAAATGTAAACAACAACAACAAAAATGAAATTATAGAAGCTGATCTTAGCCACAAAACATCACACAACTATTCATAAGTTTAAACTATTGACCTTTCTTTTTAATATTAAATATCTATTGGGTTTGAAATTTAAATCCAAATTTCATAATCATTCCTTGTTTATCAGAAACAAATTGATGATTGAAAAACAATTTTGGCTGGTCAACCTTAGTTAACAATTGTGTGAAGTATAATTGCAATAGGTGTGTGCACGTGTTTTCACACGGCGTGTGTCAGGTATACCGTTTGGTTGAAATCGTGACGACGTCCGATGCATGTTGTCTGAAGGTGCTTTCTTAAATTGTTGGAGAATGCGAGAACACTGGCCGAAACATGTAAATTAAACTGCTGTTCACATTTTATACAATACACAACGTTGCTTTGTTATCTGTTCAGTACATCACGTCATCGCTACGTCCTAATGATCATGTCATCATAATAAACTGTTTTGCATGTCTTTACCCATCAGTATGGACCTCGAAAAACACGTGCATTCCCTGACACAATTCAATTCAGTAAGTGTAAATGTTGCAAATGTTTATAGGGCAATACCTCCTTAAAAAGATTTTGTGATTCTCGTAAAAAACTCTAAGATTCTTATAGTTAAAATTAATTGAGTCCGTGCATATGCCGCTAATTACATATAATTATGTATACTCTATGGTACATTCCTATTTCCTTCGTATTATTCGCATATTTAAACTTTGATCTGTAGCATTACATGTTTATAGGATACACATCCTTGTTAACTAAACAAAAGAGAAGGTCCTGATAGTGAGGAACCGTTGTTCGCCACTTGCCGATATGTACGATAGCCTACCGATGCTATAGGTACATTTAGTCGTATGCGCTCGCAATTTGGTACGGGTAGGCCAGCTCACGAATTCTAATGATTTATTAATAATAACAATTATACTCGTGTAACTATCAAAGTTTGTTTTCTTGATACAATTGTTACAAAAATATAGCCGCAAAATTTGATAACATACAAACGAGGTTTATAATTTAATTAATATAATTTATGACTTTAGTTATTAAGAAAACACAGACATATAGAAAACTATTTCTTCAATTACATGTACAGAATGTCAATGTCTTACACATTTTAGATATTCACTTTTTATCACGTAATAAAGTTTTCAGTGGGTTTCCAGACAGCAAAGCTATCGTTTTTAAGGGAAACATGATGTGCTACCTTACCAATAAAATATGTAAGTTCCATTTGAGCCGTTTTCGATTGAATACATTAAAATATAGGTATCTAAGGAAAACAATGCATGAACCGTTCATTGACATGTACATTGTCATGAATATAAATAATTTCGAGTTTAGCAAATATCAATAAGTGACTACTGAAGAGAAGGGTCGACTAAGGTATCATCAAAATGGTATAGTAGAATAGTGTTTGATGACATGTCGGAGGGAAAGGTGCCTCTGAGGTTTGATTGTAGAGTTATAAGAAAGAAAGAAAGAGGTTTGCTTGTAGAATTATAAGAAAGAAAAAAAAGAGGTTTGATTGTAGAGTTATAAGAAAGAAAGAAATAGGTTTGATTGAAGGTTAAAAAAGAGAGATAAAGAGGTTTGATTGTAGTTAAACAAACGGGAAATATAGAGGTTTGGTTGTAGCTAAACAGACGGGAAATAAACAGGGTTGACTGTAGAGTTACAAGAGAGAAATAAACAGGGTTGACTGTAGGTTACTAAAGAGGAAATAAAGAGGTTTAATTGTCAGTTAACAACGGCGAAATCGAGAGGCTTGATTGTGAGTAAACAATATAGATACTTTAGGGAAGCACTAGGCACAACGTTGTTAGAGTATATGTTTACACTGTAGATTAAGTTGGTTAGGCCGAGGAACAAAAAGGGGTCTGAATATAAGTATAAAAGGGTGAAACAAAGGGGTTTTGGTTGTAATTTAACAAGATAAATATAACACTTCCAATAGCACTAGACAAAGAACGAGGTTTGAGTTCAGGTTAACACGAGAAATATAACGAGGTTGTGTGAATGATAATGCAATAGATATGATGATTAGACAGACAAAACCAGGTTAGAGTGCAGGTTTTCACCAGACATTGAGGTTTTACTGCAGGTTTACTCAAGAAAAATAACGAGGTTTGACTGTGTAGTAACAAGACAAACATAACAAGGTTTGACAGT